GCCACACGACTCACGTCCCCACCACGACGTAGCTTCTTCGTGCTCGAACAATTCCTTGGAAGCAACTCCCAAGCGATTGGAAAGGAGGAAAGCGACAATGCCCGATGGTGTTGTACAAGGGCAGTAGATCGGCCTTTCGATTTGCAGAAAGAAGGATGAATTCATATATAAGAGCAGAAAAGGTTCTACCTTCGAACGGCCTCCTCGTTTTCGTCGCGCACCGAACGTGTTCCTTTACGAGACGTGTTATGTCACTGAGCTGTCTCTTTTAAAACCCGACAACTCCCTGGACGACGAAAGCAGAGCAGCGACGGTTGCAGCTTGCTGGAAATGATGGATGAGACAAGTTGTTTGCTACGAGGAGCACATAATACTTTGCACTTAAAATTTGCAAAATTATTGTACTTATAAACTCGACGCGTTTATTATTTTCTTTAATATATCGAATACAAGACTAATTGAACGAATAAAAGAGAAAAAAAAATTAAATTAACGAATAAAATTATTGTTACTTTACTATTGATGTCAGTCTTACTTTAATATATATGCATTTTATTCTTTTACACAATATGCAAATAATGTGTACTTATATAATTTAAGCAAAATTGGCTTTACTTTTAAAGGTCGTTATTTTCTATCTTAGCGTAGCTGATGCTGGACACTTTAATACACTCAAGGTGAATGTGGTTTGTGGTTGGAAGGATCACTTGCTCTCGATACAACATTATATCTTCAGTCGTAAACGATAATAGCGACAATCTACGCGCCATAACGGATGTTCATCATTATTTCGAAATTGCAGTTCTCGCGCTCGCAAACGTGACCGATTGTGTGCACAAAAAGCGCTTAAGTGTATTGTTTTACATTATTTTTTTGGGAGTGAACGACGTTTCCATTGTGCACTGTCGGTAGAAAGATACACGTAATCACGTAAAAATCATAATGGGTAAATGTGGTCAAAGGCATCAACCATATGTAACATTGTTATATTAAAGCCAATTCTGCGATGTGAATTTCCTTCATAAGAGTAGAACGAATCGTTCTTGGAAGATCAAAAATCGTGTCTCGCGGTTAGTGAGACACTATACTTCGATTTTTTTGTGATCACGCGATCCGAGATTCTTGCGCGTCTTGTTGATTCTTCGAGTGTTCCCGAAGAGTCGACGAATACGCTTAGAAGGAGATCAGGTAAGACCAGTTGGAAACGTAGAAACGACACGCGGCTCGTCGAGAATCATAGTGAGAGAACATTCGTCATTATTACCATTGACCGTTGGTCTCTAGGATCTACCCATTCGGGTTCCACAGGAAGTAGGCCGGTTGGATCAAGGATCAGGCTGCCCTTTTTCATTTTGAAGCGGCCCATTCAGGTGTAATGGTCAGTTAAAGACTATCCAAACAGACGATACCACCGGTTCTTTCGATGAACTTCCGAGTCTTCCTTTTTTCTCATGACCGAGTGTCTTAGACTCGAAGTCTTCCGCCTGAAGAATCGAATCTTTTGTTCGCATATTGAACTATAACTGGTTGAATTTATAATAATAGTTTAAAATTTAATTTTTGATCTTTCAGGAAAATAATAATAGATAATATACAAGAGTCGTAATACCTTATTCTTGAAAAAATTCGGAATTGATGTTTACTTTAATCAAAACTTATTCCTAAATTATATTTTCAAATATACTTAACAAAACTTTTATATTCTATTCATTTTTGATTCGATAAACTTGTCTACGCGAATTCGCAAGTAGTTAACCAAGTTCTACGCGAATAATAGGCGAGCCCACCCGCGGTTGCCTAAATAGAGGAATCATCTCAAGTATATTTATCCACGTGATCGTCGAATAACAAACGTGGAAATCCTTAAATCCTAAATCAACCCGGCGCGAGCCGAAACCGAAAGCAGACTGCAAACAAACGGCGGCAGTCGAACGTGAAGGACTCGTGGTCCAATGTGGCGAAAGTCAAATATTAGGTCACGAAATAAGACGTGCTTTGTGTCTGGTCGAGTTAAGTGATTTTATGATGGTGCTTCAAGCAATTTTCAAAAATTTCCGACACTTTAATTGTGACATTTCCTATTACATTTAAATCAATAGTAATGATTTTCTTTTGTTCATCTATTTTTTAATGTGGCAGTAAAATTGCTACAGTGTAAAAAAAAACAATTGTAATCGCACGTGATATATTCATTCATTATCACTGAAGAATTTGCACGATAACGTATCGCTGCTCGAAATGTTTCTTCTTCGAAGTCGTAAAAAATGCTTTTCGCATGGCTCTTGACTCGTTTCTTATCTGAACCGAGATGGCTGTGTTGAGGCAGTAGCGGCAGTGACGAAGAACAGAAAACGAAGAAACTGAAGACAAGACAATGACCGCTGTTCAAACATGTTCAGACTTCAAATGACCGCCGGCATATCTCGTATGGGATGCGGCTGCATGTGCATTAGCGGTTCGCAACGGCGAAGGAAAATGCGCCTCCGTAGTGTCGTATCCTTTCGGGCTTTGGCCGGAGGACATCCGGCATCGGAAATAATAAATATTTGAGAAGCTGCTACGGAACGATGCAGACGCAGCGAAGCCTTTCATTTGTAAAGACATGCCGAAATTAGTGTATCGGAAGCAATGATGAGAGATATATGGAGAAAGATTTTATTTTGCTAGGACTGAGCAGCGCGAACGTTCAAACACTGGACTTGCAAGCTGTATCTAACCCTAACGTATAGAATTATATATCTTTATGTTCTTTAAACTGGTTTTCGTATATAATATACAGTGAGTGCAAAAAGTATTCGTACAAGGAAATTTTTTTTATAAAAAAGTCTTATTTGCAGAGAGAGAGAGAAAATAAACATTAATTAGCAATTTTATACAATGAATACATTCTGTTCTAATATAAACAAATGAGCTTCGCATGTATTCTTGATGAGAAGCTAAATTTCTCGACTGTACGAATATTTTTTGAGCATCCAAACAATACAATTTTTAATTTTCGCTTATTTTTCAGATGATATATTTTCTATAATTAATACACATTTTTTTGGTATGTATAATTTTAAGAAATATGCAATCTATTTCATTTTTTATGAATAAATTGTTAATTACCCAGCAAGAAATGATCGTCAATTAAACGTCGAATCAACAGCAAATTGGTGTTGAAATCATTGTATCGATATCGACATCAATTCGATGACTCATTTTCGCTTATTTTCGCTAGATAATATTTACTTTTTAAAAATAAAGTCTTTTTAAAAAATATTTTCTCTGCACGAATACTTTTTGCACTCATTGTATATTTATTTATTTAGTTTTCTATGTCATATATGTATGAAGCGTTTCCTTTTAATTTATTAGAATTTATAATGAGATTATCATTTTTCGAATCTTTCATATAAAAAAATTTAACACTTTGTAAGAGTTTTTTTCAATGATCGTGACGACTTTTATTAATCATCAGCTCAGCGTCCAGATGGAAGACATCACGCGAGCAGCTGGTGCGGTGTCGAACGCGTTGTTAAATTTTATCGCGTATACAATTTTATTTTTTAAGTCAGTCCCAAGAGTGGCGACGCGCATATCTGCATACGCCGAAGATTCATCCACCGAGTTGACTGACGAGCGCCGCCTTCCCCTAATCGGTCGATCGCCAAAAAATTCACAAAAAGACACCACGCTGTGCGCAAGGGCGACAAGGGACGGAGGAGAGAAAGGGACCAGGTTACGAAGAAGGAGTCTCAAGAAACAAACTGAGACGAAACTCTCTTTCTGCTTACCCGGGCACCGCCCTTGCACTCCACCCATCCATCTCCGGCGTGCATATATTTTTGGGCGGCTAGTTTTTCCCCTGAGGGAGATTTATCATGTCCCTACGCCTCTTCTCTCGCGGGCTGCTCCATCAGTGCCCGACGTGTGGCAGGGAATAATTGGCAGAGCGGAGGAGTGGCCACATCGTACTTTAGAAACTACTTCGGAGATGGCTCGTGGGAGCAGAGTAATTCAGTTACAGAGAAAATGATGATTCCCACAAATATAGATAGAGTAATCTGCATGGATTTTAAAAATTGTGTATCTGATCACTTGATATCGATTCATTAAATTGAGTTGATTAATTAATTTAAGTGGATTTTATGCAATTTTTATACTAATATTACCATGTTATACATAATGAAAAAATCGAAATCTTTTTATCCAGACGAATATTTTTCCGTGTATTTATTAAAGAATTAGTCTAAAGCCCAATCTACACAAGACACAGAACGCGAGTCGCAGATCGCAAGCTTGTTGCGCCAGCCAATCTCGAAATCACTTTTAAAACACATCGGATTGGCTGACACAACAAACTTGCGACCTGCGACTCGCGTTGTGCGTCTTAAGCCTCGTCTACAATAGTCGCACAGGCTGTGTCGCATGTCGCGAGTAGTAGCGTCGCAAGAAAATTTGTCGCAAGAGTGTCGCTAAATGAGCGTCTACAACAGTCCCAAGGATTGTTCGCACACAAATTCGATCACAAATTCTAAACGCCAACTTGCTGTGATGTAATTGGCTGAGCTCATGCGACACTTGCGCAAAAAGTTTAAGTTGGCTCAACTCCGTATAACAAGAGCTCTTGCGACTGCGATTAGATGCTTAGACACTTTTGCGACATTTCATACGACATGCGACTATTGTAGACGAGGCTTTATGTAGATTGGACTTAAAGAAAATATAATGATTAAAAGGCACGTGTGTCGCAAAAATACTTAAGAAAGGGATAAGCAAGTAGGCAGAAATATATTTAATTATTAAATCGCATTCATTCTTTTCTGGAAATATATTTGTAATTTTTCGAAAACGGGCGTTGAAAGAAACAAAAGAATTATCAACACTGTCCGCCGCCCGTTAACTGCGAACGAATAATAAACATCAGGAGGTCATTACAAAGTCGCTTGATCGAGCAGTCATTTGAAACTAGTTCGTTTGCGTACATCATTCAGGACTGTCGTGCAGTAGAAAGTCGAAAATGAGCGTGCTAAACTTTGCGCAAGAGTTTTCACATCTAATCAATCGTTACACAAGAACTTCTTCACCGCATGTAAGTATTCGTTCGATTAAGAATCATATGTTATCACCGAAAGTAAAATGTATAGTTGATATAAATGTCTACCTGAACAACGACTGTTATTCTATTCGTGTGTATACGTGTGTTTAACGAGTATAAGTTATTGCACATCTTGTGAAAGTTTTCATATAATTTGTGATTGTTACGTATATATTTCAGAACGATGCAACGAATGCCATCACGCCTTTAACCGAAGAACAAATAGTGTCTACTATATATAATGTGCTTTTGGTACTCATAAATAAGGACAAAAATTATCTGTTATCAATATTTAATAACGCAAGCGTTGCTACCATTCCAGAAACTTCGGTCGTACAGATTAAATACGAACCGAACGTTGAGGATATGCGCAGGTTGTTTTGAAATTTTAATACATAGTCTAACGATTCTTTATGAATATACATTTTTTATGACAATAGTTTTATATTTAGATTTCAAGATGTTCGATCTGTTACTAGTGAAGAGTCTTCTTTTTGTGATATCTCACTAAAAGATATTAAAAAAGAGCAAGAGAATCCTTTCAATACATTGCAAAACGATAAGAAGGTAAATTTCATTATCGCATTATTTCTTTGAAACGTTACTCATTGTCACAAATTTATGAGTAATCTAACTTTTATAATTTTATATATACATAAATATAAGTCAAATTACCAATCAATTGTAATTTGCCTATTATATATACAGGGTGTTTCCAAATTAAATGGCAAAACTTCGGGAGCGTGTAGAGGAGTAAAAAACTAAGAAAAAAAGTCCTATAGACATATGCTCCTTTTTGCTTTGTTTCGCAGGAAATCACGAAAAAAGAAAAAAATATATTTAATTTATTATTTTAATTATTTTATTTATAAACTTTTTAATGAAGATTTTGTTCGAAATGTGCACCTCTTGCAGCAATACAAGCATTTAAAACCATATCAGCATATTCACTATTAGAATACGTACGCGGCATATTGCAAAAGACAAAATTCATCTACTGTTAAAGGCTTTCAAAGAGCGACTGACAAATTCATAACAGAAAGTGGAAAATGTAATCAAATATGTCGGTGCTAGATATGGCAAGAAATGTAAACATTTTTTTTCGATTTCTCTGAAACGGAGCAAAAACGAGCATATGTCTATAGGACTTTTTTTCTTAGTTTTTTACTCCTCTACACGCTCCCGAAGTTTTGCGATTTAATTTGGAAACACCCTGTATATATAGTTGGCAAATTAACTTTATCTGGTTGTCTAGCATATTATTAATTTCCATTTGTCATTTATTTACAGTTTATTTCACGATCGAATCCTGCGATTTACGTTAACAACATTAGCAGATCTGATACTTTTGTTCGTGAGGTACACCTGAAGGAAACTAACGACGAGGACGTTTTTAAAGATCGGACAGGTGATCTTACAGATACTGAAATAGATTTACCAAGTGATCTTTTTTATGAATCATTGAAGGAAATACGAAAGTCTGTTATGAACATTATGACAAAACTGAATCATTTAGAAGTAAGAATGATAGCAATATTAATAATATGATAAGCAATTTTATAATTGCTTATCATACACACAAATATAATTTTAAGATAAAATATATTTGTAACAAAATATTATTTATGCATATATTTATTTATTTTACAGCAATCATTTTCACAATTGACAAAATCACCAAAGGAAGTTACGATAAAAGCTCAAAAATCATTTTTAGTTAATAACAGTTCCAATGGCATTTCAATTAAGATTGGAACATCGGTTGACAATCGACCAAGTACTGCTTCCTCTAAAACACCAAACTCGTCTAAACAGCACACAACAGATAATAAAAGTAGTTTCGAGAGACGTAAAAGTACTGGCGCAATTGGAAATGCTACACCTGTTAGAAAATCTGGCGAATCTATAAAAGTATGCAACTCAATATCAAGTGTAGATTTATCACCGTATAAACCAGTGAGATCATCCGATTATCGACCTAAGTTTACGAAAAATCCGAAGTACGCCCATATACAAAGTACAATACCAAAAGCAATCAGTCAAAAGAAAAAGCAGTAATTACAATAATGCCGTTGGAATAAAAATCATACGGTAAAATGGTTATATTTTTATAACACGAAACATATATATATATATAACAATAAATAAAAGAAGGGCTACAAGCCAATTAAAATTTAAAGAATATTTAATATTTTATATATATTATATTATATATATATAAACATATATATAATATTATATTATATATATAAACACATATATATATATAATATTAAACATATTATATATAAACATATAATCATTTTACCGTATTAGACTAATTTTAGAGTCAATATATTTATGCGTTATATGTACTGTCAAAAATCATATACGCATGTACATACTTGATGACTCGTTCATCATTATTTTGTATGTATTTAAAATGTATGTATTTAAAAAACTTTTAAATGTGTTACTTATATGTATATGAAAGTTTTTTATAATAAATATGCAAAACTTGTAAACAAAATTAAGTAATATGAATTTTTTAAATATCTAAAAGTATATTACCTTTGTTAATGTAAATTTTTACAAATTACGAGTTTTCATATTTAAATTTCATAAAATAAACGTAAATCACACACACATTATGTATAAGCGAATATATATCCACTTATATGTGATGTTTGGCAGTCTGGTATGGTCATGCGTTAGCATGAATTTGTCTGCCGTAGGCTACACACTCCAAAATGCTTTCTCATGCTCCTTTTGCTAACCGAACGAACACCTTGCATATCCTAAATGCAGCAGCCGTGCGAGAATGAGAGCATCGAGTGCAACTGAAATTATTAATCTGATCTGTATTATTTGATCTTGATCAAATTTGACTTAAAATATCAATTTCTGCAATGTTTTAAGTCAAAAGCGAACACTAATTTTTGTGATGTAATTTTTCAATATGAAATTCAGAAATATAATTATGTTCATTAGCAAAGAATTATTGAAACATTTGTCTTCTTCTTCTTCTTCTTACGTTATGAACATTATGACAAAACTGAAATCATTTAGAAGTAATAATGATAACAATATTAATAATGATAAGCAATATAATTTTACGATAAAATATCTGTGTAACAAAATATTATTTATGCATACATTTATTTATTTTACAGCAATCATTTTCACAATTGACAAGATTACCAAAGGAAGTTACGGTAAAAGTTCAAAAATCATCTTTAATTAATAGCCATCCCAGTTCCAATGGCGCAATTGGAAATGCTACACCTGTTAGAAAATCTAAATAATTAAAGAATCTACAAAAGTATGTGCCACTCAGTAATAAAAATATCAAGAGACACGGTAGTGTCTCGCGCCAAGTGGACGCACAGCGCGAGACCGCCCCGTGTCTTTACACGAGTCAGCGAGTTGCGAGTATTTGAGTAGATTTATCACCACTGGATTCATTTGATTATCGATTTAAATTTCCGAAAAATCCCAAATACGCTCATGTACAAAGCACTATACCAAAGCAATCAGTTAAAAGGCACATTTCAATTAAAATCAGAATATCGGTTGACAATCGCCTCTGGCTTGTGTTACATCTCTCTCATATGCTTGTGGTGCACACGCTGATTATTCAATTGCCACAAGCATATGGGACCTACAGTTTTAATGCCGATTCCGAACGGTGGATTTTTCGAGAAGTTTCTGTGGGCAAGGATATTCTTGGGAGGTTGCTAGCCTTTTCCGATAGGAGACATGAGTGAAAATATTTTGGTTCCTACTGGGATTGAATTCGGGACGTCTGGCATGATAGACCAATGCGCTGTCTACCATGCCACGCTCGCGCTCAGAGCTTTCACTTTTAAAATACAAAATTAATTTAATTCAATACTTTATTTCTTTCATCTTGGAAGGGTTAATACGAATTCTTTCTTATATGCTCGATATATAAGAAAGAGATAACAAAATAACTATTAGTATCCCGGTCTTTAATTATAAAAATCGTGTAGGCGGTGCTTCGGCACCGTGAGCCCTCATCAATCATCCGTCAATCCACGTCCACGAGAAACGATTCCACTAGATTATACGATCTTTGCCCTTGAAAGGCAGACCTTCGTTACTAGGAAGCAGGTAATCTTGAAGCTCGTAATTAGTGCTCGTCGGGTGAAGACTATATCTCGTAGCTTTCGTGGCACTCGTCCGCTAAGTTAACGTAGAAACTGCGTAATTTCATACATTATTTTATTTTAATGAATTCATTTACATCAGAAATCCATTCCTCCATCATCCGTCTCACAACCGCGGATGCAGTAGCAAACTGCATCTGTCCTTAAGTGCACTCTTGGCGAAACACTCTTTAGCTTAAAAAGTGTTTTACTTGTTGACGTGTCAGCCGAGCCACTCACCGGCGGACTCCGAGGAGCAGTCCCATGTCCCATCAACGACAGCGATTAGCTCCACGATTCGCCTTAATGGCTGCCCGATCATCCGTTCGCTTCCATCCGTTTCTCTTTTCGACCTTACTAAGTAGGCGCGAAAATGCAAAGTGAAACAGGAACGAGGGAGGGAGAAACATGGTCCATCCTCCGTCTCGTCTTCCGTCACGATATAATCGTGAGTCGCGCGATCACGTAATTTATTTTTTCATTTTTATGACGCTGTTTCTCAAAGCTTTATGGCGTATTGATAGAGAAGAAATACATCCAACGAAAATTATATTTATAAACACTCATTAGAGCTGTACGTTTGGTAACAAACAGATAATTATGTGTCACCGGTGGATTAAATTGATAAAATTAATTCGATAATAAATAAATGAATGACACAAACTTATGTTTTATATTTAATTATAAAATTACTGGATACGTCGATGCGTATCCGATTGCAATGATAGTAATTTAAATTTCATAAGCGTCTGTACACGAGCGATTAATTCGCATATACACTTAAAGCGCTGTAAACGATATAGTCCTAGATTTAAAAAAATGCACTTTAAAGGAGAATGAACAAAAAAATTGATAAATGCGAATTCATCAATAATACATACGTCGCCGGTACCATCTTTATTATCGTGATTCAAAAGCTGATATGACCATGACCGTGAGCACAGCTGCCACTTTGCTGAGAAACGAATTTGTAGCTGTGTTCAACCTTTTTGTCTCGTCGAATCACTTCCTGGCTTCCCCCCTTCCCCTTTCGCTCTTTCGTTCTGCTGTAGCCCAAACGAGCCCATTTTTGGCTCACAGGTTTGGACGTGCATACGTGTGTGCGCAACGGAGGACGTTTCTGCGGACAAACCGATTTGGCGTGCAAAAACGGATCGCATCTTTTTAAAACATACTTGAGGTCCGACGAAGCGTCCGCAATTTCCGCCTGATGGTGCACAGGTGCGCGCGTGTGCGTGCATTCTTTTGTCGGCGTGTCGCGCTAACAACGGTTCTCCTTTCCGCAGTGCGCGGTCACGCAATGACAAATCCTATAAATCATAAAACAAACCACGCGTTTAGCCCCCGTACCGTAGCGTAACGCGGCCGAAAAATTCCCTCTCGTCCGAAGGTACTAAATTACTCTTTTTTTTTTACGATGTTTCTTCGATGCACTTGAATTCATAATAACGTAAAAAGTGTGCTCTTCAACAAAATTGAAGAGGATGTGAAAGCAGAGTATTTAGGCCTCAAGATACCTTTTGGAAAATTGTTTTACGATTATTTCTCATACGATTTTTTAAATTCATATTTCGTCAAAGGACACCAATTCGAAGAAATTCTTTCATTTTGTGTATGTCAAGAAATGTAACAAAACATTGCAAAATAATTGTGTGACGATTATATTGCTACGACTCCGGAGAACCGAATGTATACGCAGCACACGCATACAAAGTATAGACATATTCATATACGAAGATTTTGTCTGCCACACGGCCCGTCGTTCGCGGAAATATAAACAATGGCCCTTTAAACGCGTTAATTTCTTGCATATCGTCTATTTACATTTCTTTGACCATTTAAAGAGACCAGAGTTGAAGCATTTTATATTGATGTATAGAGAATTATAATTTAATATGTAAGCGATAATTATATACAATAATTCGACATAAAATGGTTTAAATTTAACCGATTATTTCAAATGTAATAAGGACACAGCGATAAATATATTTTGTATGTGGAGAACATTCGAGAGAAATGCGAGCGATCGAACGTGAGGTCGCGAGTTGACTTCGAGACACAAAGATAATAAGACGCGCTCCAACTGTTACAGAATAAATCATTATCTTTAATACTGATTTGGAGACATTGATTTTCTTTCGCTAACCATCCGACTACCAAAGCTGTGTATTTAAATCGTGCGAAATAAATATGTAAGGATTACTTTTTATGAATTCAAAGAAAACTTTTTATTTTATATGAAAAAAATATAACAAAACATCGTAAGACAGTTGCATATTTAAATTGTATGAAATAAGTTTGTAAAGATTATTTTTTATGAATTCAAAGAAATCTTTTTATTTTATGTGAAAAAATATGACAAAATATCGCAAAACAATTGTATATTTAAATCGTGCGAAATCAGCGTAAAGATTACTTTTTATGAATAATCTTTACTGATTTATATCGTCTTCATGAACGTATCGATCTTTGCTTGTTGAAAACAGTTATTTTCTTCAAGATTAATGTTCCCTTTTATTCGTGGCATCGCCGGCCCTTAAATAAAGCTGTCACGCCGCCTCGGATGAATTGCACCTCCGTTACAGAAACCGCGCAATGAGGCCGGACATGGGCTCGTCGTTCACGAGCGCGTAATCGCGTGTGCATGCGAAGTCACTCACGCGACCGACTTGATGGCGACGGCGGCGGCGGCGCCCGCGCGAGTCTGCAATTTCGCGCACTCGTTCGAAAACCGGCCACCCCGACACCTGTTGTCGAAGTATACGCTTGATGATTCCCTATGCTAAGCTCGCGACGTGGCAAAAAGTCGGCCAGTCGGCTCGTTGCGGGCCCTGGGGGCGATCGGAAGCGGTACGGGATGAGCGAAAGGGGGGCAGACTATGGGCGTTCTTTCCCCACTTCGTTGGATCC